CTGCATCTCAACCAAACGTGTTGATCTGTGGAAGAAGGGAGGGAGGCGTGTGGCGCAGTGGGCTAGTGCGTTGGTGTTGGGATCAAGGGAGCACAGGTTCAAACCCCACTGCAGTCAGCATGTCGTTGTGTCCCTGAGACACTTCACCCCAAATAGTTGTTTATTTTTGCACAAAAAAATGTATTTGTTTAAAACAACGAATCCAATACATCACGGATGCTGATGACGATGACCTCATCTTTTATTTTCATGAACATGACAGAGACTTTTGTTGTACCTTGAACGTGTTTGTTCTGTTTGGCTTCTCTTTGTTACAATTATTATTATGGTAACACTTTATATGAAGGTACACATATTCACCATCAACTAGTTGTTAATCAACATGCATATTAGCAGTTTATTGGCTCTTTATTAGTCATTATAAAACACACTCAATAACCCTCTAATTAGTGCTTATTTATTGCAAGTAAGGAAGTTGTTGAACATGAGTTTTAGTCTCAATATGCTCTGCTCACTATGGGCCTAATAAGGCAGCAGTACCACAAGAATAGTAATTCTCTCATAATAACACCAAACACATATGATCTATTCTTACGTAACAAGACATGAAACTAAAAGTGTTAATTGTGTCTAAATAACTCAAAATGTGATATTTCTAACTCAGAATTCTCTTTTTTAAAGTGAAGTCTTGTTCATAACCAATAAGCTATAGTTTGTCTCTAATGTGTTAATTAACAACTAGTTGATGGTGAATAAGTGTTACCATTATTATTATTATTGTTGTTGTTGTTTTTGTTTCTGACATGTTCCATACATTGACTAATAAAGGACATAATAATAATGTTGAGCAGCAGGTCTTTGGGCGGGGGTCATGTGGACGACATGTCAGCGTGACGACGAGGGAACTTAGTTTTGGCGTCTCTTCTGAGAGTACTCTTTATCTTCAGCTCATTGATTTCATTTCCCAAAGAAAGAGGGCATTGTGACGGACGACCAGGTGACACTCGGGATACACAGAGTTTATGGGATGTGGTTAACTATTAACGCTGCTCAAACAGAAGGCGATGTGAGAGACAGGTACTGTACAGCAGGGAGGGGTGTCAGTGTTTGAAGAGGGGCGCGGGCGGTGTGAGTGAATGCATCTTTTTACTGGGCTTGTCATTTGAAAGGCAAAGTATGTGGTATTGACCCGAGTGAAGCGAAGCATGACGCCATGTTGCTTTCCATAATGTTATTTCATAGAATAGTAAACTGACACAGCTTCTGTTATTGAAACACATAACAACCATGGTATTATATACCCTCTCTTAAAGAAGACATATTCTGCTGGTGTTCAGGTGTATATCAGTATGTAGTGTCTCTACTTTAAAGAGTCCTCTCCTGCTGATGTTCAGGTGTATATCAGTATGTAGTGTCTTTAAAGAGTCCTCTCCTGCTGATGTTCAGGTGTATATCAGTATGTAGTGTCTCTACTTTAAAGAGTCCTCTCCTGCTGATGTTCAGGTGTATATCAGTATGTAGTGTCCTCTACTTTAAAGAGTCCTCTCCTGCTGATGTTCAGGTGTATATCAGTATGTAGTGTCTCTACTTTAAAGAGTCCTCTCCTGCTGATGTTCAGGTGTATATCAGTATGTAGTGTCTCTACTTTAAAGAGTGCTCTCCTGCTGATGTTCAGGTGTATATCAGTATGTAGTGTCTCTACTTTAAAGAGTCCTCTCCTGCTGATGTCAGTGTGTATATCAGTATGTAGTGTCTCTACTTTAAAGAGTGCTCTCCTGCTGATGTTCAGGTGTATATCAGTATGTAGTGTCTCTACTTTAAAGAGTCCTCTCCTGCTGATGTTCAGGTGTATATCAGTATGTAGTGTCTCTACTTTAAAGAGTCCCTCCTGCTGATGTTCAGGTGTATATCAGTATGTTGTCTCTACTTTAAAGAGTCCTCTCCTGCTGATGTTCAGGTGTATATCAGTATGTAGTGTCTCTACTTTAAAGAGTCCTCTCCTGCTGATGTTCAGGTGTATATCAGTATGTAGTGTCTCTACTTTAAAAGTCCTCCTCTGATGTTCAGGTGTATATCAGTATGTAGTGTCTCTACTTTAAAGAGTCCTCTCCTGCTTCAGGTGTATATCAGTATGTAGTGTTCTACTTTAAAGTCCTCTCCTGGTGCTGTTCAGGTGTTATCAGTATGTAGTGTCTCTACTTTAAAGAGTCCTCTCCTGCTGATGTTCAGGGTATATCAGTATGTAGTGTCTCTACTTAAAGAGTCCTCTCCTGCTGATGTTCAGGTGTATATCAGTATGTAGTGTCTCTACTTTAAAGAGTCCTCTCCTGCTGATGTTCAGGTGTATATCAGTATGTAGTGTCTCTACTTTAAAGAGTCCTCTCCTGGTGATGTTCAGGTGTGTATCAGTATGTAGTGTCTCTACTTTAAAGAGTCCTCTCCTGCTGATGTTCAGGTGTATATCAGTATGTAGTGTCTCTACTTTAAAGAGTCCTCTCCTGCTGATGTTCAGGTGTATATCAGTATGTAGTGTCTTCTACTTTAAAGAGTCCTCTCCTGCTGATGTTCAGATGTGTATCAGTATGTAGTGTATCTACTTAAAGAGTCCCTCTCCTGCTGATGTTCAGTGTGTATCAGTATGTAGTGTCTCTACTTTAAAGAGTCCTCTCCTGCTGCTGTTCAGGTGTATATCAGTATGTAGTGTCTCTACTTCTAAAGAGTCCTCTCCTGCTGATGTTCAGGTGTATATCAGTATGTAGTTGTCTCTACTTTAAGAGTCCTCTCCTGCTGATGTTCAGGTGTATATCAGTATGTAGTGTCTCTACTTTAAAGAGTCCTCTCATGCTGATGTTCAGGTGTATATCAGTATGTAGTGTCTCTATCTTTAAAGAGTCCTCTCCTGCTGATGTTCAGGTGTATATCAGTATGTAGTTGTCTCTACTTTAAAGAGTCCTCTCCTGCTGATGTTCAGGTGTATATCAGTATGTAGTGTCTCTACTTTAAAGAGTCCTCTCCTGCTGATGTTCAGGTGTATATCAGTATGTAGTGTCTCCTACTATTAAAGAGTCCTCTCCTGCTGATGTTCAGGTGTAATATCAGTATGTAGTGTCTCTATTTTAAAGAGTCCCTCTCCTGCTGATGTTCAGGTGTAAGATCAGGTATGTAGTGTCTCTACTTTAAAGAGTCCTCTCCTGCTGATGTTCAGGTGTATATCAGTATGTAGTGTTTCTACCTTTAAAGAGTCCTCTCCTGGTGATTGTTCAGGTGTGTATCAGTATGTAGTGTCTCTACTTTAAAGAGTCCTCTCCTTGCTGATGTTCAGGTGTATATCAGTATGTAATGTCTCTACTTTAAAGAGTCCTCTCCTGCTGATGTTCAGGGTATATCAGTATGTAGTGTCTCTACTTTAAGAGTCCTCTCCTGCTGATGTTTCAGGGGTATATCAGTATGTAGTGTCTCTACTTTAAAGAGGTCCTCTCCTGTGATGTTCAGGTGTGTATCAGTATGTAGTGGTCTCTACTTTAAAGAGTCCTCTCCTGCTGATGTTCAGTGTATATATCAGTATGTAGTGTCTCTACTTTAAAGAGTCCTCTCCTGCTGATGTTTCAAGGTGTGTATATCAGTATGTAGTGTCTCTACTTTAAAGAGTCCTCTCCTGCTGATGTTCAGGTGTATATCAGTATGTAGTGTCTCTACTTTAAAGAGTCCTCTCCTGCTGATGTTCAGATGTGTATCAGTATGTAGTGTCTCTACTTTAAAGAGTCCTCTCCTGCTGATGTTCAGGTGTGTATCAGTATGTAGTGTCTCTACTTTAAAGAGTCCTCTCCTGCTGATGTTCAGGTGTATATCAGTATGTAGTGCTCTACTTGTAAAGAGTCCTCTCCTGCTGATGTTCAGGTGTATATCAGTATGTAAGTGTCTCTACCTTAAAGAGTCCTCTGCTGATGTTCAGGTGTATATCAGTATGTAGTGTCTCTACTTTAAAGAGTCCTCTCCGCTGATGTTCAGGTGTATATCAGTATGTAGTGTCTCTACTTAAAGAGTCCTCTCCTGCTGATTGTTCAGGTGTATATCAGTATGTAGTGTCTCTACTTTAAAGAGTCCTCTCCTGCTGATGTTCAGGTGTATATCAGTATGTAGTGTCAGAATCCAGCATGTATCCTGTTCACTAAGGAACTAATTCATATCCGATCCAGCGTCCTCTAACACTTCATAAGAATCCACCAGGACTACAAATATGGCCTCTTTCTGGATCCAACCGTCATGTAGGATCCTGTGACGGATTTCAACATCCTCAATGACCCCAAAACCCCCAATGTTGTCCAAATGTAATGCTAATTACGAACTTATGGTAATTGTGCAAATTGCCCAACATATGCAGGTTAGCATCCGGCAGTGTCTATGTGCTGGAGACCCTACTCTACATTTCTATCATCAAACTGTGGGTTTGTTTACTCAACATCTCCAGGTTCAGAGTGCTGGTAAGTGGACTATGAGGCTCATATAATGCTAGAAAAGATATTCTAAAGTAAGTAGAGGATGGTACTTCTTCTCTGTCAGTGATCTAGACATGTATGAAATCACCTCACACTGTTCTCTGCATTACAAACCGTCAGAGTAAATGTCCATGTGTGTGTTTTTTAAGACGTGGACACAGTAACCAAGTCAAACATGCCACAATCTGAAGCTCCATGCTCCATATCTCCTGTTGTTGGAGGCATTCAAGGCTCCTGTGATGATTTGTGTAGTACAGTTAGAAACTCAGTGAGCTTGTTACCACCTGTTGCGCACCAGAATCAGCCGTTGCACCAAAACTAAGAGTTTCATTTAGTTGAATACATGTGTAAGATAAGCCAATTTCCACATGTGGCGTTGCTGTTCGGTGGTAACAACACTGACTGAAGTGGATGTGATGACACACAGGCAGAGAGTCATCGATGCACCGGTCAAACTACCAGAGAATTATCCATGGGTTGCACAAGAATACAAGTCATGCTTACTCTCAGGATGTGTTGTCTTTCATGCTGGGGAGAGAGGGGAAGAGGGAACACACAGAGAATACAAAAAGAAAGGAAATATAACAACATACACCGGGGAAGAGGTCCAATAAAGCACTCCAACACTCTCACTCTGAGGGCTTTAAGGACACAACAGGCAGCTCTCCAGTGTCAACAACGGTCTAAACGATTTATCAAGGGGGGTTTTCAGATCACTGCATAGAAGTGAAATATTCTGGGCTGAGAAACAGAGCTAGCCCGCCATCTTGTGGTGCGATATATACCTGCAACACCCCTTCTTTGTGAGCGTATTATGATGAAGAGTATTCACCTCGTGCTTCCCCTGCTCATTCACATTGCCTTGTGTTGTGTCAGTACGCCTACCATCAACTTTTACTTGCCAAAGGAACAGTTTTTAAGCTTTTTAATGAAAAGTTATAACCCTTGTTTTGGGTAAGAAACAAACCCTTTAAAGGGGACCTATCATGCAAAATGCACTTTTGTACGTCTTTTCTACATGAATATGTGTCCCCGGTGTTCCAGGGAACTCACCAAGTGTCAGAAAACACAACCCTCTCTATTTTCCTCCATACCCAAATCTCTAAAAAAGGGGGCTGCAACGGATCTGATACAGACTGATCCAGATTTGAACACTGTCCTGACGTCAGGACGGTGGCGCTACGGCTATTGGGCCAACTCCACCAATCAGGAGGAGACAGCCACGGCCATTGCCGTTCGAAAGCGCTGGAGACGCTGTAGTACATATGCCAGGCCTGTAGATGGTGCTGTTCTCACTGAATCAGCCCTTGCTAAAACAGAGCTAAAAAATGTCAAATTGAGCGAAATGAGGCATGGCTAAAATGCATGATCTGTTTGGTATTTTGAAAAAAAAAAAGTATAAATATGCCTTATATAGGTATGGTCCTACACTATATTATTCAAATATAGCATGATAGGTCCACTTTAAATGGCCGTTTGTGATGAATGTATAAAAATAACGCATATTTAGAAATGTACAATGTTTTGCTGGTGATGTGAGAGCGTGTTTTTATAATGACTCTCAGTGCCTGAATGTAAAAACAGGTCCACACTGCAAGTATAACCAGAAGGGGTTACATCATAATTCAAATGTAATTATGAGAGCCACTCATTTGGAGATAGCAAACTAGACTTTTTTTCTCAAAATATCATCATTCTGACGTTTTCTTAAAATTTGAATTTCTTTCTCAAAATTCTGACTTTTTTCTGAAAATACTGATTTTTTTCAAATGTTTTACTTGATTCTCAAAATCTCAAAATTCTAACCTTTTTGGTAAAATTCTGAAATTCTGACTTTTTTTCTTAACATTCTGACTTTTCTCTCAACATCATAACTTTTTTATTATTTTATGAAAATCATAACTATTTTCCAAAATCAAACTTTTTCTGAAAAACACAAAATTCTGATTTTTTCTAGAGAATTTGAACTTTTTGTCGAAATAAAAAAAAATGGACTTTCAAAATATCTCCGTATTTTTTGGGAAATTCTCAAAAACCTTACTTCATAAGGCAATGATCAAAATTCTGATTTTTTTCAAAAAATCTCAAAATGTTGACCTTTTTCTCGAAATTGTAAAATGTTGAATTTTTTTTCAAAATCTTAAAAGGTTTATTTTTATCTCAAAATCTCTAACAGAGGACGGTTGTTAAAGTATTCTATTGGCGCAGTGTAGCTGAGAATGATCCCAAATTAAATTAAATATTTCCAATGCGTCTTCTGTTGTTAAACCAGAAGAACTATAACATATGAACAGGAATTGGGTTAATAAATTAGCAGGGCGACACAAGGTGAATACTGCTCTGTCATTGGCTCGATGAATACTGTTCTCTCATTGGCTCGATCGTTTACATCAGAAACAGCCACCTGTCGCTCTTTAAAGCCGCTGCTAATAACCCCTGCCTGGACACACACACACACACACACACACACACACACACACACACACACACACACACACACACACACACACACACACACACACACACACACACACACACACACACACACACACACACACACACACACACACACACACACACACACACACACACACACACACACACACACACACACACACGTTGATAATGTAAATTAAAGTAGTGTGTGACTTACGTTGTACCAGCTTTGGCTCTTCTGTGGAGAGAGAGAGAGACAGAGGGATTGAAATGTGACAAAACTCAGTGTGAACAGTAAAGAAACATCGACAAGTTCCCCCTGTACTCACACACCTTCCTGCTAGGAGTTAAAGAAAGTTATTACACCTCACCACTTCGATAACAAGGATCATTATGTGGATGAAATATCTAGAAATAAAGAAAGCTTTCAAAATAAAAGCATTGCTTCCTTTACTTGCAAAACAGAAAGTAGTTAAACTCCAAAGCTGCTGCGTTGTTACTTCAGATATACTGTTAATATAATGTCTCTATCAGAGGTGAACGGTGCTTTAATAAGAAATGATAATGGAGCATGTCCTATCATTTATCTGGACGATCTTACATCAAGTTATTCCAAAACTCTTCTAGATATGAGAACATGGAATAAACATTATGCAAACATCAGATGGAACTCCTTGTGAAACAGTTCTGTTGCGGTGTTAGACCAGCAGGGGGCAGCAGAGAGCTCTCCAAAGCATGGACATGACATTATCACATTATTTAAATTCATAACAGACTTTCCACTTTAACAGTGAGGGGAAACATGCAGGTGATCATTCAGAGGAGAGGAAGAGGAGGAAGAGGAAGAGGGAGAGGGAGAGGAGGGAGAGGAAAGAGTGATATCCAGTGTGTGATTTCAGGAGTACATTAAAAAAGTGACACATTTGAACTTAAAGGAGTCTCCCTTAATGAGATGGAAACTCCCTCTGGTGGGAACTTTGGGATGTTAGCCTCTGCAGACCATTGACATGCACTAAAACCTATAGGACTACAGGAGAGGGAAGACAACACAAAGAATAAAAGGGCCTCTTTAAACCAGACAGAAAAGAAAAAGCCTAGCAACAAATGCATCAAAATTATTCTAAAAGTGAATTGCTTCAAACTTAAATGTAAAATAAACTTCTACAACTTTTATCATTTTAAGTTCCTGGGACATTTTCATTTTTTTTCATTTAACTTGGACTATTTTGCGGATTAAGTAAGAACCACTCAAAATGTACTTATTTCTTATTGTTTATTAGTGCATATTTTTGTATGTTATTACACATATTTAAGCTCTGAATTAACTTATCAATTTAGAATAATAATAGCAATCAGGTGCCTGAATTTCTTTTTGAGTTTTGGTCATTTATTTGGGTTTCAGGCTCCCTTAAAAACATGTATAAGAGAACCTGTCTAAGCACGGTTACTGCAATTTTTGCAAACTCGATTATTAAATCTGAAGATTGAGTGAAAATCGTATTTTAGTTTGACCCGGTGGATAATAGAGATTATAAATAGCTGCAATAATTAGCCTGACGAGCTAAATGTAGCTCCGATCGATGTTTATTTCCCTTAAAAAGCAAAACAGAATACAATGTGTGTGTGTGTGTGTGTGTGTGTGTGTGTGTGTGTGTGTGTGTGTGTGTGTTAGCAGGCCTGGCTGTGACAATAGCTGCTAATGTGGGCTAATCTGATTTGAAGGTGACACACACACACACACACACACACACACACACACACACACACACACACACACACACACACACAGATCAGAGCTTCTATAAACTGTGTCCTGTGCTCCTGTGTTTCAGTGTTCGGCTGCTGCGTGCATCTGCTTCATGAAAGGCAGGTTTTATTATAAATGATATTATACTAAATATCTTTTTCTTTTCTACAGTCCCATCGTTCTGTTGTCTCACACAACAAACTTCAGTAATAAACGGATTGATATTTATTTTCTCTTGTGTTTATTCACATTGCATTTGATATAATGCAAAAGTAACAAACATTCATATTAGACACTCAGATTAGATTATAACACTCATTGTAATGGCTTTATTTTTTAACATGGGTGTATTGATGTGTTATGAGGGTGTTATAACAATGTAACATTGGTGTAATAGTGGTGTATTAATGTGTAATATGGGAATATTAACAGTGTAATATGGGTATTTTATCTGTGTTATAACAGTGTAATACTGTATGAGTGTAATAATAGTTTAATATGGGTATAATAATGTGTAATGTGGGTGTTATTATAGTGTAACATGGGTGCAATAGGGGTGTATTAATGTGTAATATGGGTATAATAACAGCGTTATAACAGTGAAATATGGGTGTGATAATGGTTTAACATGGGTGTAAAAAGGGTCTATAAATGTGTAATGTTGGTGTAGTAACAGTGTAATATGGGTACTTTATGGGTGTAGTAACAGTGTAATATGGGTACTTTATGGGTGTAGTAACAGTGTAATATGGATACTTTATGGGTGTAGTAACAGTGTAATAAGGGTACTTTATGGGTGTAGTAACAGTGATAATATGGATACTTTATGGTGTAAGATACAGTGTAATAAGGGTACTTTATGGGTGTAGTAACAGTGTAATATGGGTACTTTATGGGTGTCGTAACAGTGTAATATGGGTACTTTATGGGTGTAGTAACAGTGTAATATGGATACTTTATGGGTGTAATAACAGTGTAATATGGGTACATTATGGGTGTCGTAACAGTGTAATATGGGTACTTTATGGGTGTAGTAACAGTGTAATATGGGTACTTTATGGGGTGTAAATAACAGTGTAACATGGGTACATTATGGGTGTAGTAACAGTGTAATAAAGGGTACTTTATGGGTGTAGTAACAGTGTAATATGGGTACTTTATGGGTGTAGTAACAGTGTAATATGGGGTACTTTATGGGTGTAGTAACAGTGTAATATGGGTACTTTATGGGTGTCGTAACAGTGTAATATGGGTACTTTATGGTGTAGTAACAGTGTAATATGGGTACTTTATGGGTGTAGTACAGTGTAATATGGGTACTTTATGGGTGTAGTAACAGTGTAATAAAGGGTACTTTATGGGTGTAAGTAACAGTGTAATATGGGTACTTTATGGGTGTAGTAACAGTGTAATAAAGGGTACTTTATGGGTGTAATAACAGTGTAATATGGGTACTTTATGGGTGTAGTAACAGTGTAATGTGGGTACATTATGGGTGTAGTAACAGTGTAATAAAGGGTACTTTATGGGTGTAGTAACAGTGTAATATGGGTACATTATGGGTGTAGTAACAGTGTAATGTGGGTACTTTATGGGTTGTAATAACAGTGTAATATGGGTACTTTATGGGGTGTAGTAACAGTGTAATATGGGTACATTATGGGTGTAGTAACAGTGTAATAAAGGGTACTTATGGGTGTAGTAACAGTGTAATATGGGTACATTATGGGTGTAGTAACAGTGTTATTAAGGTGTAATAAGTGTGTACAAATGGTGGTATAGGCACGTATTAATGTGTGTAATAACAGTGTATTTAAGGTGTAATAACAGAGTAATATGGGTTTATTGTAGAAAACAGCAATCAATACATTTTCCCAAATATTTAATTCTGATCGCCCATTTAAGGGTTAGACAGTTGGACAGATCAGTGTCCTGTCAGGTAATAATGAAGGAGATGAAGGAGCATTTGGGGAGAATACGATGGGGGGGGGGGGTCCTAAAGTAAGAGGAGGGCTAATGGGGGCCAGCAGGGAGAGCTAATTGGGTCAAATGAAAACAAGAAGAAATGCTTACTTTAATCAGGTTTAGTCTGTCATACTGAAAGAAAATGAAAAGAGAAAGCAGTGAATAGCGTGAATATAGAGGTGAGACAGGAGGTGAGACAGGAGGTGAGACAGGAGGAAGAGGAGGTGAGACAGGAGGAAGAGGAGGTGAGACAGGAGGTGAGACAGGAGGTGAGACAGGAGGAAGAGGAGGTGAGACAGGAGGTGAGACAGGAGGAAGAGGAGGTGAGACAGGAGGAAGAGGAGGTGAGACAGGAGGTGAGACAGGAGGTGAGACAGGAAGTGAGACAGGAGGTGAGACAGGAGGAAGAGGAGGTGAGACAGGAGGTGAGACAGGATGTGAGACAGGAGGTGAGACAGGAGGAAGAGGAGATGAGACAGGAGGTGAGACAGGAAGTGAGACAGGAGGTGAGACAGGATGTGAGACAGGAGGAAGAGGAGGTGAGACAGGATGTGAGACAGGAGGTGAGACAGGAAGTGAGACAGGAGGTGAGACAGGAGGAAGAGGAGATGAGACAGGAGGTGAGACAGGAGGTGAGACAGGAAGTGAGACAGGAGGTGAGACAGGATGTGAGACAGGAGGTGAGACAGGAAGTGAGACAGGAAGTGAGACAGGAGGTGAGACAGGAAGTGAGACAGGCCATAAGACTGTTAAACCCCGAAACTTGTTAAAGAACATCCATAACATTCACCTGTTTGCATCTTGCAAATTATTGATCTAATAAATCATATTCCATTCACTTGTAGACTCTTCTTGCCGTATTTCTATTCTATCTGTGTCATTGTGTTGCACTGGAGGAGGAGCCTGTGACTGCAGTGTTGTATTGCCATATCCACACTGTAGCTATGTGCACATGGCAATAAAGCATTGGAACTTGAATTGAATGGTGTGTCTAACGAGGAACCTGATTGATTTCTGAGTTATGGTCGTTGCGGCAGCAGAGAGGCATCGAGGCTCTTTTTGATTTGGATTGCATTAGGTCAGGGTGATCGAACTCACGTTGCCAGCACAACCTCACGCCATGTTGGGTCATGTGACCTCTGCTGGTGTGTGTGAGTCTTGTGTGTGTGTGTGTGTGTTGGGTTGGGTTGGACTGTGGCACAAAAAGTGATGTAATCAATGTGTGTGTGTGTTTATTGGCTCTTAAAGCCTGTAGAAAGGTGCAGGAATGAGTATATTTTAACGCTTTGTTCTACAGCATCAAATACATCAGTAAATACCCCACTGGTGAATTAAAAACAGCGGTTTGCTAACAAGTGTCTAAATGAGACGACTAAACGTCATCACGCCCAACATTAGCCGCCTTTAGCTTAGCGGTGGTGACGTGAAGTCATGTGACCGTGCTGTAGTTCCTTTATAGCCTAACATTAGCCACCTTTAGCTTAGCGGTGGTGACGTGAAGTCATGTGACCGTGCTGTAGTTTCCTTTATAGCCTAACATTAGCCACCTTTAGCTTAGCGGTGGTGATGTGAAGTCATGTGACCGTGCTGTAGTTCCTTTATAGCCTAACATTAGCCGCCTTTAGCTTAGCGGTGGTGACGTGAAGTCATGTGACCGTGCTGTAGTTCCTTTATAGCCTAACATTAGCCACCTTTAGCTTAGCGGTGGTGATGTGAAGTCATGTGACCGTGCTGTAGTTCCTTTATAGCCCAACATTAGCCTCCTTTAGCTTAGCGGTGGTGACGTGAAGTCATGTGACCGTGCTGTAGTTCCTTTATAGACTAACATTAGCCACCTTTAGCTTAGCGGTGGTGACGTGAAGTCATGTGACCGTGCTGTAGTTCCTTTATAGCTCAACATTAGCCACCTTTAACTTAGCGGTGGTGACTTGAAGTCATGTGATCGTGCTGTAGTTCCTTTATAGCCCAACATTAGCCACCTTTAGCTTAGCGGTGGTGACGTGAAGTCATGTGACCGTGCTGTAGTTCCTTTATAGCCCAACATTAGCCACCTTTAGCTTAGCGGTGGTGACTTGAAGTCATGTGACCGTGCTGTAGTTCCTTTATAGCCCAACATTAGCCACCTTTAGCTTAGCGGTGGTGACGTGAAGTCATGTGACCGTGCTGTAGTTCCTTTATAGCCCAACATTAGCCACCTTTAGCTTAGCGGTAGTGACGTGAAGTCATGTGACCGTGCTGTAGTTCCTTTATAGCCCAACATTAGCCACCTTTAGCTTAGCGGTGGTGACGTGAAGTCATGTGACCGTGCTGTAGTTCCTTTATAGCTCAACATTAGCCACCTTTAACTTAGCGGTGGTGACTTGAAGTCATGTGATCGTGCTGTAGTTCCTTTATAGCCCAACATTAGCCACCTTTAGCTTAGCGGTGGTGACGTGAAGTCATGTGACCGTGCTGTAGTTCCTTTATAGCCCAACATTAGCCACCTTTAGCTTAGCGGTGGTGACTTGAAGTCATGTGACCGTGCTGTAGTTCCTTTATAGCCCAACATTAGCCACCTTTAGCTTAGCGGTGGTGACGTGAAGTCATGTGACCGTGCTGTAGTTCCTTTATAGCCCAACATTAGCCACCTTTAGCTTAGCGGTAGTGACATGAAGTCATGTGACCGTGCTGTAGTTCCTTTATAGCCCAACATTAGCCACCTTTAGCTTAGCGGTGGTGACGTGAAGTCATGTGACCGTGCTGTAGTTCCTTTATAGCCCAACATTAGCCACCTTTAGCTTAGCGGTAGTGACGTGAAGTCATGTGACCGTGCTGTAGTTCCTTTATAGCCCAACATTAGCCACCTTTAGCTTAGCGGTGGTGATGTGAAGTCATGTGACCGTGCTGTAGTTCCTTTATAGCCCAACATTAGCCACCTTTAGCTTAGCGGTGGTGACGTGAAGTCATGTGACCGTGCTGTAGTTCTTTTATAGCCCAACATTAGCCGCCTTTAGCTTAGCGGTGGTGACGTGAAGTCATGTGACCGTGCTGTAGTTCCTTTATAGCCCAACATTAGCTTTTTACTTCAGGAATCATAACGTGGTGTTAATATGTGGAGATTATCCTGCTGAACTAAACGTGTGTTATTTTCTGCAATAATCCAAAATGGAGAAATCCCATTGGAGCAGGGAGATGCTGCCTTCAGGGTCCAACACAGAAATACGACATCCCTGCACTACTCTTTGTTCTCTTCTGATGTAAAATTGAATGAACAAAAAAGAAAGAGGGATGAAGTCTGAAAGGAAGCAGACTGGATGGTGAAGCCGGACACAATGGATGAAGGAGATATAATAAGCTGAAATAATGATGTCGTCCGTGAATATATATATATATATATACACGGGGAGGATTTTTAACAGTGAATCTCCCGGCATGACAGATATCATACATCTAACTACTAGATATGTTAGTAAAGAGGAGAGGGGGTAACAGAGAGGAATTAATAAAAGTATAGTTTATTAAGGCTGGAAATGTTCAAAGTGGAAAAAGATCCCCCCAAAATAAGGCTCCGTTCATCCTTTTGATGTGTGTATCACTCTCAACTTATTTACAATGGTGTACTGGTTGTTTTTGCTTATCATTTGTAACGTGAGCATGACTTTTTATTTTGTATTTAAGTGCATTATTTACTTGGATTTCTGATTCTGTATTTGTTTACTTCTATACATTGAATAAGCATAAATTGACCCAGATGTAAATACAGTCTGAAACCAACCTTAACACAGATATTTGAGAATGTAATCAGGAATATTTCTCCATCACCAGAGGGAGAAAGAGAAGGAGAGGAGAGAGGGAGTGTGGGATTGGTAGGAAGTGTCCATCTGCTGTGTGAGCAGGTCGTACACAGGTGGGAGCAAGCTGGGTTTCAGGGTGAGGGACATGTCCACTGAGCAGCTCACAAGACAGGAAGTGGGGAAGAGGAGGGGGGGGAGGGGGGGGGGGGGGGCACAGAGATATTTTGAAGAAACAGAAAAAAGAGTAATGCTTACTTTGGAAAGTCGCTTGTGAGACTAGCATGCAATCAGGAGAAGAACAAAGACAAATCAGAAAGTAAAAAAGAAACAGCAAGAAGAAGAACCAGTCGTCATCAGATGGAAAACAGTATCATGTGACAGCAGCAGTGTGTAGTGGAGACAACACAACGCTAAACAAACAACAACAACAACAACAACAAGTGGATTAAACAGCAGACGGATGAGGACAGAATGAGCGATGCTGAACATTTCGCTCGAATGCTTTGCAGGAAAACATTAGAGCCGCGTTCTCCTTTCTCTAAATCCATCACTGAGGTCTAAAATACAACTCTTCTGTTTTTAGAGAATCAACATCTGTCAACGGCAGAAATCTACGGAGGATAGCCAGAGCTTTAAGGTCTGCTGACCAGCTGCTGCTGGAGGTGCCCAAGACCAGGCTCAAAACCCGAGGACCCCGAGCCTTCTCAGCAGCTGGCCCGAGGCTCTGGAACACTCTGCCCCTCCATGTCCAACACAGTCTCACGGCATTTCGTGTTATAGTCACGAAATTAATCTATTGATTCGTGTTCACCAACACGATTTCGCCATTTTTTCCGTGTCACACAGAACGATTTTAAAAGCAATGTAAATAATAACAAATTAGAAGGAAAAAGACATTTAAAAAAATACAGATTTAAGTATTCTGACACAGAAGGATTTTAGAAGCAATGTATTTATATTGGTAGTATGTTTCGTGCCTGCACCAAATAATAACAAATTAGAAGGAAAGAAAGATGACATAAAAATACAGATGTCAGTATTCTGAGGCTCTGAGCCATTTCTTTTCCTCACTGACGGCAACAAACAAACTCAGACATTATACAATTTAAAATAAAAGGATAGGGTTAGGCTTCGGGTAAGATATTGAGTAAGAACATGTTTCTATTGAACCACACAGCTTCTGGTCTTCCAAGACCCGACCGGACAAAAAGACGTGTTTGCAGGCCACGAAACATACTACCAATAGAAATACATTGCATTTCAAATCGTTCTGTGTGACACGAAAAAAAGGTGAAAATCGTGTTGGTGAACACGAATCAATAGATTACATTAATTTCGTGACTAATAACACAAAATGCCGTGAGACTGGGTTGCCATGTGAGGTCGGCCCAGACCCTAGGGGTTTTTTTAAATCTACTTCTTAAGACACACTTCTTCTCTCTGGCCTTCTAGTCAGAGCGGAGCACGACTCCTGACTTTTCCCTGTGTGTGATTTTTATATTTCGTTGTAATTTATTGCCTTCTGTTTGCTATCGCAGTAAAGTGTTTTTATTACACGTACAGCACTTTGGCTCGACCTAAAATAATTTTTCAAATGTGCTTTATAAATAAAACTTGATTTGATTTGATAACAGGTGCAATCCAGCTTCAACTCTTCTATCAGGAGTAACGTGCCGCAGCTTCAGAAAGGATGCAGATATACAAACCCAAATGTTCCTCATGAAGAAACCTCTTCAGAAACAACACATGCAGCTTTTAGAGAACATTCAGCAGCTTGAGGAGACATGGCAGCGTTTACTGAAAGTTCTCTAAATGCTGAATGTGTTGTTGCTGAAGAGGTTTCTTCATGTGGAACATTTGGGTTTTTATATCTGCATCCTTTGTGAAGCTGCAGCGTGTTTCCACCTGTCGGCTCTGTATGATTGGCTTAGCTGTATCATCATCACGGCCTCGATCAGTAAGGTGTTGTGGAAATGTGTTCACAAGCTGCACGGAAATCACAACAAACCGTTTGTCTGAGGCAACACATACAGGAATAGCTAGTGAAGGATTTGATGTTTTCTGCCATTATCTTCGGACATTTTTCTTATAAGGTGCAGAAACTAACCTTTTAACAACAAGCACGACAAAAGCTCAGCTAACTCAATCACAGTATCAGAGACCAGGGAGAGTAGGCCGATGAGATGTGAACATGAGAAGCTGAAATGGAGAGGAAGGTGGGGAGAGTGATCGCTGCGACTCACTGGTTACAAATCAGGGCGTTGAAGTCAATAACCAATCACAGAGGGTGCGTCACTGAATACAATGTTATGGCAGGTGCTTTGGGGGGGCGGGGGGTAGCTGCGATACCCAACTGTTCTTTGTAGGGTGTGAGTTTTGCTTATTGCGAAATGTTGTCATGTAAATGATCTTTGATGTGTCCCTATAAGAGAGTCTGTCACTCAGAAGGACACGTCATGCTAGCATTAAGCATTGAACAAAGGTCTTAAAAGACTTCGATAGTGTGTTTCTTTGCATATTTGCCTAACTCATCATTTTCTCTAGACAGCAGCTGATTTGAAGTTCCATCGACAACAGAATACCAGCTCTGACCTATTGATTTGAACACGATCCGTGTATCCATCATTTCCTGGTCTTCTCTAAAGAAGAGGGACCAATGAAAACGTTGTCATGTTGCCGTTGTTCAGCATGGAAACATTCATTAGCTAACAATGACATTATTGTTCTATTAATATAAAGGGAGGTCAGGTACTCTTTAAAACAGCTGCTAGTTATGGGTACTTTTTACTGAAGTACATTTCAAAGCCCTCTTTACTTTGACTTGAGTAAAGAAGTTTAGTGAGTACTTCTACTTTCACCAGAGTATTTTTAAACACAGTATCTGTACTTCTACTTGAGTAAAGGATGTGTACTCGTCCTCTCTGGTGCCACAGAGCTTCACCTGGTCTCCTACCTTTGAGTTCTTCCCGCCGCTCCTCGCTGACTGCAGGGAGTATGTTCTCTGGACGGCCGTCTCAGGCGTGGAGGGGGATTTGTCGGAGGAGTGATCTGATCCTTTCTCCACCATGTTCTCTCCCTCCGGGCTGTGAGGGGTGGGCGAGCGCGAGCGTTTCCGCAGCACAGGCGAGCAGGCGGGGGTGCTCTTGTTTGAGTTACTGGCAGTGCTGAAAGACAAAGAGACAGAAAGGGGGGATGAGAAATATTAGATGTAAACTTAAAAAATGTGGTCATAAAGATCCTGTAGATACTCCTCTGATACGTCAACATCATGTGAGGTAGTGGTGTTAGTCCAGAGGGGGAAGAAGTACTCAAATGTTTTAACTGTTGAACTGATGTTCCCTGTGTTGTTATAGGTGTTAGTGCATGTCAATGGTCTGCAGAGGCTCAAATCTGTTGATTTCTGAGGGTGTTCCCTCTCCTGTAGTGTGTTCTCTAGGTTTTAGTGCATGTCAATGGTCTGCAGAAGCTAAAATCCCTGTGTTTCTGATGATGATTCTCAAATGGGCCTTTAGACACAACCAGTACTTTTACTTATTATACTTTAAGTATTATTGGATGCTAGTACTTTTACGTTTTGTGAAATGTTTGACAGACAGATGGAAGGACTGCTGTCTTGAGACAGCTCCTTCTTTCCATCGTACGTTGCTATCAGGTAACCTTTGTGATCCTACACACACACACACACACACACACACACACACACACACACACACACACACACACACACACCACACACACACACACACACACACACACACACACACACCACACACACACACACACACACACACACCACACACACACACACACACACACACACACACACACACACAACAAAAGGCTCAGTAAGTGATCTGAGCACGGTTGCTGGACATGAAGTTATGCAAGCCCTGACGTCACCGCGGGCCGATGGCGTCTGTTTGTTACTGTCACAACACTAAATAATAAGACAACGAGGAATCAATAAAACACAGACACAGGGAAGTTAAATATTATATTGCTGTACAGCACTATAAGAGACAGATTAGCTTTCAACAAAGCAGTCAATAGTGTAATGCCTCTACATCAGAAGGCAATGCAAGTGGGCCGCCAAATCATTTGCAAAACATTAGGATTTGTGTGGAAACATTTCATTATTAAGATTTGTTTGTATTTGAACCTCCTTTCCTTTCTCTTTCTCGACCCTCCTTAGCAACGGTCATCACAGTCCTTGACAGCGGTCTGTTCTACTGGATTGACCACGTGTCACATGTTCTGAATCGACCAATCAGAATCGAGTATTCAACTAAACCGTGTAATAAAAATGTCTCTTTGTTACTGATGGCCAGCTCCTTTTTTCTAATTCAAATTAAAATAACTTTATTTTGCCTCCGTATTGTTTATGTTTGAATGTGGGCCGCGAACATCTATTAGATTCTTAAGTGGGCCCTGAGTTGAAAAAGGTTGGTAACTGCTGCTCTACATACTAAGAGAATCCTACAGCTTATATACACCTCAAACTGCATGTGTAGCTGACCTCTGACCTGACACAATATTGTGATGCATCTTCTGTCCCCCCAGACTTTAAATAATCCCAGGTTGAATGACCCTTTTCTGCTGATACCTCACAGACCAATGTAGACAACTATTGGTCATAGAAATAGATCGGCCTCCTTTCAGAAACTAAACGAATACTCACTCGTATGGCTTGAAACTCGTGATTATATAAAACAGATTCTACATCACCATGAATTAGTGATCGAGTGTTTCAGTGGTGGAGCAGCTGCATCAGTGGAAGGTTCACTTTAGAGGGAAAGGACAACAGAAAGCCCTCACATCTGTTTAGTGCTCGGGATAGATGACGCTCGCCCGGTGTATTATATCAATTTATATGATTACCAAATGCTCTGCTGATCAGTGCTTTTCACTGTCATGTGCATTGTGTTCTCTGTCCTCTGATTGGTCCCCACTGACCTGGTTAATCTCCCTCTGTTCAACTTTCATTATAACGGACCGTCCACACAGCAGCGTTAAAAAATCTTGAAACGCTTCTGCCCATTCACTTTGAATGGGGTGACGTCACTTTGCCTCACTTTTCGCCGAACTGCATTGTGGGCAGGCGAGCGGAGATTTTCAGGATTTTCAGGATTCAAAGTTGAGCAATGTTCAACTTTTGAAGCTGAGGTGGAAGCGTCAGCCAATCAAATCCCGTGTATGCAAATCTGACAGTTCAAGCTCTAGCCAATCAAACGGCGTGTATGCTGGGAGAGACATACCGCAGGTCATTTCCTCATATCCCAAAACATGGAGGAGAAATGAGCGGTAGGGAATCACCCGGTGCTTTATGACCAGTCCCTATTTACCTACCGGGATACAAACCGGAGGAGCCAGGCATGGAGGGAGGTGGCAGAGACAGTGGTAGGTCTTCGCCTGTTTGGGGAGTTTATATCCAGTTTACTTCGGGCTTTTTGGCTTCGTATGTCGGGGGCGGGAGATTCATGTGATTGGTTGTTGGTGCCTTGCTCGCAAAAAATCCCCAAGCTTCAGATACGCCCACCTCCAAGATATTTTTAACACTGCTGTGTGGACGGGCCGTAAGAAGCAGACGTCTACTGATGCCAGGTGAAGACGACTGGACATTATGGATGAAGGACATTGAATACGCTAAAATAATGATGTAGTCTTTGAAGGAGGGGAGGACTTTTAAGACTGAATCCCCCAGCAGACGGGTTATACACAGATATCATAGATCTAACAACCAGATGTGTTTGTAAAGAGGAGAAGTGGGTGCAGGAGAAAGCAGATAGGAATTAATTACAGTATAGTTTATAAAGGTCAGAAATGCTTAGATCTGAAAGAATACAAAAAAGAAGGCTCTGTTTATCCTTTTCATATATGAAGACGACTGCTCCACAGATGTGCAGAGCTGCGGATCCTTTGATGGCAGAAAGGAGAATATAAATTCATATTCAGCATGCATGATAGTCTGTGTCTGGGTTACACACACCAGATACACTCATGCTACAACTTTAAAGCAAATACAATGTTTGGGGACACAAAGTTAAAAATAAATCAATAGAAATAATGTGTTAGCTGTACACGTTACATATATTATTATTATTTTAAATAACAAGACAAATGACCTTTATTGGGACAAATACTAAAAACAAAAACTTATTTTCAATATTATGAAAAAATGTTGTTCATCAACTTAAAAGCAAATTAGAAGTAAAACTAAAAACAAAAAGTCTATGGCTATATGTAGCAAGGGTAACTCGATGTCTGAAGAAGCAGCGATATGTTTAATGATAACGGTAACTCGTCCCGAACCTGAGCGATGCAACATAACATATAAGAAAGAGAGTTCTGTCTCTGATGCTCTCCCTTCAGGCGGAGGAGACGGCAGGACTCCCCGCTGAAGGGAACCCCCCGCATGTTGTTTTTAGCAGATGAGAGGAATTCACGGATCACCTCGCCTTCCCAGAAACACGACGGCAAACAAAGGCAACACGGATCCATCAGCAGCGTGAGAATGACTGAGCCTGATATCAGCAGAGAGCAGCTAACAAAGCATCGCTCACTGAAGCTCTGCTAACAGCAGCTTCATGAAGCTCAACACTGAGGCGTGAAGAGAGACGACGTGCAGACACATCGTCTGCACTGAGAGGATCAGGGTGTTACATGAGAGATTACAAAGAGCTTTTTACCTGCAGCATAAAAGATACGGCTTTTCAAACCTCTATTACATTTATCAGAGGCGACGGCAATAAGTGCAATAAACCATAGAGATACAAACAAGAACAGCAAGAAACATGCAGGTATATAAAGAGGTGCAGGGATGACCTGTTTTTGTAGGCCGACCCTGAAGGCAGCATCTCCCTGGTCCAATAGGATTTCTCCATGTCATTTTGGATTTCAGGTCACCACCGCTAAGCTAAAGGTGGCTAATGTTGGGCTATAAAGGAACTACAGCACGGTCACATGACTTCACGTCACCACCACTAAGCTAAAGGAGGCTAATGTTGGGCTATAAAGGAACTACAGCACGGTCACATGACTTCACGTCACCACCGCTGAGCTAAAGGTGGCTAATGTTGGGCTATAAAGCAACTACAGCACGGTCACATGACTTCACGTCACCACCGCTAAGCTAAAGGTGGCTAATGTTGGGCTATAGAGGAACTACAGCATGGTCACATGACTTTACGTCACCACCGCTAAGCTAAAGGTGGCTAATGTTGGGGCTATAGAGGAACTACAGCACGGTCACATGACTTCACGTCACCACCGCTAAGCTAAAGGTGGCTAATGTTGGGCTATAAAGGAACTACAGCACGGTCACATGACATCACGTCACCACCGCTAAGCTAAAGGAGGCTAATGTTGGGCTATAAAGGAACTACAGCACGGTCACATGAATTCAGGTCACCTACGCTAAGCTAAAGGTGGCTAATGTTGGGCTATAAAGAAACTACAGCACGGTCACATGACTTCAGGTCACCTACGCTAAGCTAAAGGTGGCTAATGTTGGGCTATAAAGTAACTACAGCACGGTCACATGACTTCACGTCACCACCGCTAAGCTAAAGGAGGCTAATGTTGGGCTATAAAGGAACTACAGCACGGTCACATGACTTCACGTCACCACCGCTGAGCTAAAGGTGGCTAATGTTGGGCTATAAAGCAACTACAGCACGGTCACATGACTTCACGTCACCACCGCTAAGCTAAAGGTGGCTAATGTTGGGCTATAGAGGAACTACAGCATGGTCACATGACTTTACGTCACCACCGCTAAGCTAAAGGTGGCTAATGTTGGGCTATAGAGGAACTACAGCACGGTCACATGACTTCACGTCACCACCGCTAAGCTAAAGGTGGCTAATGTTGGGCTATAAAGGAACTACAGCACGGTCACATGACATCACGTCACCACCGCTAAGCTAAAGGAGGCTAATGTTGGGCTATAAAGGAACTACAGCACGGTCACATGAATTCAGGTCACCTACGCTAAGCTAAAGGTGGCTAATGTTGGGCTATAAAGAAACTACAGCACGGTCACATGACTTCAGGTCACCTACGCTAAGCTAAAGGTGGCTAATGTTGGGCTATAAAGTAACTACAGCACGGTCACATGACTTCACGTCACCACCGCTAAGCTAAAGGAGGCTAATGTTGGGCTATA